TATCTCACAATCAACAAGATTAGGGGATTTAAATAAAACAACTAGATCTACTGGCATCTTCCAAAATACAGCTAATCCACCACTTAAACCAATCGGTGGAACAGTAACATAATGAAGAAATCCTAACTGAGCACCTAAATCACGGATGTAATCATCCTTCTGCTTGGTTTCAGACAGGCATATGATGTCCGGGAGATACTTGCGGTTAATCTCCTTAAGGCGTCGAACTGTGAGGTCAATGCCAATCCCTTGACAGTTCCAACAGGCTGTCCTCATGGTGGAAGAGGTGGTTCTGGGCCCACCGCGCCTCTCAACACTTTGGGAGGAGATGATTCCTCCATTTGACCACTACTTTCACCCTGCTCACGAGAATGCATTTTGTAAACAAACTTCTCATCATCAGAGTCAGAGTGCTTACGTTTCCCCAGGTAAGATGTCATGGTGTGCTCAGTTTGTAGATCAGAAAGGTTTGAATGTTCTGAACCAATGTTTCCTTGAACCACGTCCTGCTCCAATGTTATAGCTCCGCGGGGAGTCAAGTTTCTCTCAGGCATCTGAATATTGTCTTCAGAACCTGCAATTTCTGAAACAAGGCCTGCATTATCACCATTATCTTGATCATCTTCAGAACTCATTCCCAATTCCTCTTCAAAATCATCGTTGAGAAACCCTGCTTCACCAATAGCTTCATGATCTCCATTTTGAAGATTCTGGTTTTGGGCACCTTCACGCAGAATGGCTTCAACTTCTTCATCATTGATCTCCCGGATCTGAATACCACCATTGTGTTCATTGGCTTGATGAGGTTCCTCTTCGTCACCATCGCCATCAGAATGATCAACATCACCTCCATTTTGAACACCTTGGTGTCTTCGTGGTGCATTTCCAGGACCGTCATCATCATCATCATCATCATCATCCGAAACAAGCACCCCACCACCATTATGAATCAAACAATTGCCAGAGTCGTGAGTCAACATACCACATACTTCGCAAAACCCTCTTAGTCTCTCGTAACGGAAGCGAAGCAGAGTGTTGACTCCTTGTGAGAACTGGAAGTGTCTTTGGAATCGCAGGGGGCGAGTGATATCCCAGTTGACTCGTACTCGTGCGTACTCTCTTCGTGCTACAGCTTCTTGATTGTAATCTACTTCCATCAACATTCCGAAAGAACGTCCGATGTGAGCAATTACATCTTGTGTGGCAAACTGGAATGGAATTCCACGAATTTGAATCCAAAATGGGATAAAATCCAAACTCGCAACATCCACAAAAGGTGCCCAGCGCTGGAGGACAATCATTCTGTCTACAAATGCCCACGGGCCTCTTCTCAGAACATTCTCCATTGTTTCTTCAGAAGGGAATATGAACTGGAACCGATTCCCTTCAATGATTCGCCCAAAGATCAGACCTTCAAGACTCCAAATTCTGGGCATGTTGGCGATGATGGAGCGTATGTTTTGGCGTCGTGGATTGGTTGCACGACCCCAAAGAACAAAACGGTTTTCGTAAGCAGCTTGATGCAGGACATCGGCGGGCAAGGCGAAAGGCTCGTCTTCCACACCCAGATCGAGATCTTGGACCGCTCGTCGTAGATTATCTGCCATTTTTTGTAATAGAGAATAGAATCTCAGTGGAAAGTGAGTATGTGCGGGAAATTACAAGAGGAGTTGTGTAAAATTCCACTCTCGATTTCTGCTTTTATGTTCTCTGGACATCACCGAAATGGGTGGGAACTGCTTCTTACTTGAGATCGTGTCTTCCCAAGTGGAATTAACCGTCGCCAGACAAGAGAGTGGAGAAGTAGGTCCTATCTTATCGGCGGGAATCGAGAAAACCACCAACGGAGTGGTTGAAATCAATCGGAAAAGAAACCGTAAAAAAATCGCCTGAAAAGTCGCCATTTTTGTTTTTTATCTATGATTTATTTATTTTCACTTTATTTTTGTGAAAAAGACTTTATGGTTATGGAAATGAGTCAATAAACAAAACTTATGGAAAAAGGAAAAATACCGCGTAAGACGACTCTAACTCAATACGATCTCGACACGTGTCTCCCCTAAACCCTCTTTTAACCGCCAAAAGAAACAACCCACACATCCCATTAACTCCTCTCTTCTTCTTCTTCTTCTTCTTCTTTTTCTTCTTCTTCATCTGATCGCAACACACACAAACAAAAAAAAAAAAACAACAAGAAATGGTGGATGAAGATCGCACGACGTTAGCTCCGACGGAAATTTATGGCCGAAGCGACGAAGAACAGAACGGACCGAGAATCTGGCGTAAGAAAACAGAGGAACCTCCAGGAAACTGTATCGTCTACTCCTTGACGATATTCGTCATCGTTTTCGCAGTTTGTCTCATCCTCTCACTGATTTTTCTACGGATCTCGAAACCAGAGATCGAAATCGTATCCATATCCACAAGAGATCTCCGATTCGGAGGTAATTCATCGAATCCTTACTTCAACGCGACGCTAGTGAGCGATATCTCGATCAGAAATTCGAATTTCGGAGCTTTCGAATTTGGGGATAGTTCGTTGCGAGTTGTTTATGCTGATCATGGAGTTGTGGGAGAGACGACGATTGGTGGGAGAAGAGTCGAGGCTCATAAGACGGTTAGAGTAACCGGTATTGTGGCTGAGATCGGTTCGTTTTGGTTATTGAATAAGAGGGATTTGGATTCGGATTTGAGGTTAGGGTTTTTGGAATTGAGGAGTGTTGCTGAGATTAGAGGAATGGTTAAAGTGTTGGGAAGAAGAAGATGGAAGGTTAGTGTGATGAGTTGTACCATGAGACTCAATTTAAAAGGACGGTTTATTCAAAATTTGTTATGTGATTAGTGGTAATTGATCGGTTTTGTAACCCGGTTAAGAATTTTTCTCTGTTTTTGTTCTTGTTCTTGTTGCATTGTTTTGCGATTTGCGATGTCTTTGTATATGAAAGGAATATTATCAATGTTTTAGAAAAATAAAAGATGAAAATGAAAAACTAAGAGTATGTTTTTTCAATCTTATTTATATATTTTAATAATTTTTGTATGATTATATTCAGTTTCATTATATTCATTCTCACTTTTTCTAATTATAATTATGTAGGCAAAACCTATACAATTTAATACATACAAATATAGAAAACTAAATAACAAATTGAAAAAGTAAAAACTAAGAATTTCTATTAATCTATTGCAATTCCAAATCGAATATACAAAATATAATTCTTTTCGCATAATATATTACATGAGGTTATGTGAAAACATGTTTTACATATGTAACAAGAATTTAGATGAATATAAATCTTAGTTATTGGTTATTTAAAATTTTACGTGAAAAGCTTTAAAATCAAGTAACTTAATCTTGTATAAGTAGGATATATTTTTATTATAGATAACAAATTAAAATTTTAACTTAAACAGTGATATTGAAGATTTTAATATCATGTTGTTTTTTTGTTACTAGAAATTTCTTTAGTTTTTAATTTATTTTCTTAACAATAATATTAGAATTAGAAAACTTTTTTTTTTAATTTACAATTTTGATATATACGAATAAAATTGAATTTTTAAATGCTGATGTTGATGCTTTTAAAATAACATAGTTTTAACTGTTATTAATGATAGAAACATTTATTAACAATATTATTTTAAAAATTTTTCTATAAATATATTTTTTGTTAACGATATAATTATAAAATTTGGAATTTTTTTAATTTTAAATATTGATGTGAACCAATAAAATTGAACTTTTAAATCTTATGTGGACACTTTTAGAGACATATAACCTTAACTTTTATTAGTAATAGATTTAGAAATCAAAGCTAGAAGATCCCACACGAGGCCCATTGCGGCAATTGATTTGGTCGCCTCCTTGTTTTGAGACTTACCAAATATATTCGGATATTGGTTGGTCAGCTAATTGTTACCTTTGTGGTTCATGTTAGGTTGTTAAATCCCCGTTAGATGTCATGTTATTCTAAAAATCTTCTTCGGATACCTCAGTCTCCTTGCCTTAGTGACAGAACCTCTTATTCTATTTTCAGTGCTTCATTTCTTAAAAGTGTCGAGTATCAATCACTTGACATGTTTCTCGGATTGCTTGAAATTTATCATTCTTCTCAAATTCGATGGTCAAGCTTTAGAGATTTTATGGTCTCTTTTTCAATATTAAAGCAGCTTGTAATGGCTTTGTTTATATCTCCTTTCATCATATTCTTTGTAATTTAGCTAATATTTAAACAGATAGTTTAGTCAAATTTGTTCTTTTATGTTGTAATAACTCATTCTTTAGTGAAAACTAACTCTATATTTTTGTTTTTCTAATTGAAATGGTTGCACACAAAGGAAAAAAAACTTGAAATTTATTATAGAATGTGACAAAAATTTGATTGCTAATGTAAGAGCCTCTAAATATTAGTGTATATATCTAATTTAAATTCAAGATTTTCCTATTTTCCTACTTTAATATTGCAAATAATATAACTTTAACTGTTATTAAGAATTTTAAATAACAATTTTTCTTATATTGTTTTGTATTAACAATGTAATTCTATAATTTAGAAAATTTTTAATTTTAGTTATTGATGTAGACTAATAAAATTGACCTTTTAAATCTTATGTGAATGTCATTAGATGCATATAGCTTCAACTTTTATTTTTCTATAAATATAATTTATGTTAACAATAGAATTTTTCAAAAATTTAATTTTAAATACTGATGTGTACCAATAGAATTGAACTTTAAATCCTATGTGGATATTCTTAGAGGCATATAACTTTAACTTTTCTTAGTAATAGGATTTAGAAGCCTCCTTATTTTGAGGCTTACCGAATGTATTCAGATGCTGCTTGGTGAGCTAATTGTTATATTTGTGGTTAAAGTTAGGTTGTTAAAACCCCATCAGATGCCATGTTATTTCAAAAATCTTCCTTGGATACCTCAATCCTTCGTTTTAATGATTGAAAATCTTTCGCTATGTTATGTGCTTCGTTTTTCAAAAGTGTCGAGTATCAATCACTTGACTTGTTTCTTGGATTGTTTGAAATTTATCATTCTTCTCAAATTTGGTGGCCAAGTTTTGGAGATTTTACGATCTCTTTTTCAATATTAAAACGTTTTATAGTGGCTTTGTTTATATTTCCTTTTATTATATTTTTTGTAATTTAGGTAATAGTTAAACATATAGTTTAGTCAAGTTGATTCTTTTATGCTGTAATGACTCGCTTTTTAGTGAAACTTAACTCTATTTTTTTTATATGGTTGCACACACAGGAAAATAAATTTCAAAATTGTTATATGTGACAAAAAATTGAATGCTAATGTAAGAGTCTCTAAATATGTGTATACATCTAATTTAAATTTAAAAATTTCTTATTTTAATATTTTTTTTATTATCAATATAAATTATATAATTTCTTTATCTTTAATAATTTTTTAAAAACAATAATAGAATTTGTAAACTTTTTAATTTTCAATGTTGAGGTGGACCAATAAAAAAAAGTATACATAATTTCTTTATTTAACAATAATACTAGAATTTGTAAACTTTCTTAATTTCTTTATTCAACAATAATATTAGAATTTGTAAACTTTCTTAATTTCATTATTCAACAATAATATTAGAATTTGTAAATGATGTGGTGTTGAGTGAGGGTTGTCAAGTTTTACCCTAATTGAAATCAATAGTCGCAAATGCACAGCTGATCAATTGTAGTACTTAGGGATCGAATCCACAGGGAAGGATGATCTTTTACTGCAAAAGCCTTTGAAAATAAGTTAAAGTAAGGAAGTCTAGAACTAAACGGTTTAATGGGGGTTTGGTGGTGTCTTTAAAATCTAAAAACGAAATATTAAAAGAGAATACGGAAATTAAATGACGTAATAACTAAACTTAACGAAAATGACTAAAAATACGAAAAACGGATATTCTAATTGCTTAAATGAAAATGAACTAAAAAGGAAAGACAATATTGAACTAAAGCTTAAAGAAAATCGTAGGAAATCAATGGAGAAAAGGCGTTGGGCTTCAGGGAAGTTTTCTCAGGGGTACGAACGATTCAAAACATTGCTAGAGAGGAAATTTTGTAAGATCTTAGCTTAAACTTTTTGAACTGGAGTCACGGACGTATGAATACACCACTGTCGTGATCATAGACAACTATCTCTCTCAACCCTGACCAGTAGGTTTCCACTCTGGCCCTGGAAGAGAAGAGATGCATTATGTTTAAGACTCGTCCTAATTCACAAATCGCCCATATGTAGGTTTCCACTCCTATGTTTGTTTTGCTCTCCCAAACTAGATCTGATACCTGATGAACACTTTCGTGTCACCAAGCATCTGGATCAGATTGTAGTTCATGACGCTACCCTCATGCAGTAAAAACGAATTCAGAAGAAAAAGTTCTAAGATTCGGCTCAAAAGCTCATGGAATCCTCATCGAACATATAAATCCCCATCGAAAAATCCCTTAATGCCAACAATAAAACTACTCAGACATAATAAACGAAATCAAAGACATAGTATTAAGATGTAGAATAGAAATCGAAATTGAAAAAGAAAGAACAAGGGTTCAAGAGAACAAATCTCTCTCTCCCTAAAATCTAAAGCAAAACAAGTATTCTAAAACAATAAGAAAGAAAGATGATTGATGATTCAAGATTGTCGATTAGGGTTCCTATGACATGTATTTATAGTGCTCAAGACCTCTCTGGACGTTACTTAGGGTTTCTCCAAATGTGGGCTTCAGAAATGGGCTTTATGGGCTCGGAGGTTGAAGGCCGCGGTCGGGAGTGCTCTGACCGTGGGGAATGTATGGTTTGCCGCAGTCGGGATGCTCCTGACCGCGGGAAATAGCTTGTTGGCCGCGGGTGGAAGTGCTGGCCAGCTGGTTTACGGGACATCTTGCTCTTCGCGTATCTTTTGATTGAACCGTTGGATTGCCAAGCTGTAAAGTGCACTGGAAAGCTGATACTTCCATCTTTAAGGTCGCCAAATTTGAGCTGGATCGGACGGTGAGAAGGCCTTCAATCAGGGGTGAACTTATGATGGTTTGACTCTGAGCTGAAATCTGGTTTTCTATCCATTTTGTTAAGCTTTTCCCTAAGTTACCTGAAAAGAGTCTTGGAACTACAAATACTAGAAAAACGTGATAAAAGTACTTAAAAGCAATTAAAAACATAGAAAAAGTATTTCAAAACGATCCATAAAAGTGGTCAAAATACGGTGTTATCAACTCCCCCAGACTTAAACCTTTGTTTGTCCTCAAACAAAGCAAAAGCCTAAACTGGTTAAGTGAAAACAAAAATAGGGAATGCACAAATCTCATAGACATGAATTCTAAACTAGGACCAAAGATAGTGCATCAATCCACAACTTAGTCTAGAAAATTCTCACCAAAGCACAAGAGATACTAGTCCACTTTTTCCGTCATACAAAACTTAAACAATCTAAATCTTGATTTCAGTCAACTAGCTCTCTACATTCATTAAGTTCAATAGTGAGTTCTCATTAAAGACATCATCCAGGGTAGACGGCGTTTGGCATTAAAGGGCTATTTAAGTGGTGGAGTTAAAGTGTTTTGGGTTACCTGAAGATCTGGAGGATGCAAGATAATATGCAAAACCGCAAGAGAGATAAGGACCTGTTGATGACCACAGTTTTCAGTTACTTCTTCTTGCCAAATGTTGTTGCATAATCCTTCATCCTTTGTTGTAAACAGCTGTTCCCCCAGACTTAGATTCTTTCCGGGAATCAGAAAACAATCTCAAAAACTCCATAAAATCAAACTCCAGTTGCCTTGGGACTTAAAATTCGACCTCTCTAGACTCTCTAATGCTTTTATTTCCTTTCTTTTATTATTTTCGGATTTTTTTTTTTTTTGGCTTTTTTGTTTTATAAAAAACACCTGAAACTAAGAAAAATAAAAAGATCACAAGGAAAAGAAAGAAAAATCATAAAGAAAACAATACATAAATGGGT